ATTACGAAAAGAGGTTAGGTTTTGATCACATATAACTCTGTCAATAGCTGATGGATTTTAATTGTAAACAAGCCAAACGATTGGAAATTTATCTACCAATCTGCTAAAATGAACACTTTATTAATTTTCAATAGGTCACTATTGAAAAATACACATATGTCACACTGTTGCAATGGTGATCAACATTATCACCGATTGTCTGCAAAAAGCGATTTCCCTAAAACAGACTTAAAAATCGAATTCCATCCGGTCTCACTGTACGGTGTTCATTCAATCACCGTGTGTGGTGGTGTCCTGTCGTCAGTGTCATCAGCAGCAGCAGTACTTTCGGCGTGTGGCGTTGAATATTGTTCTCCTGTACACAACGAAAGGCAGCCTGCAAGCAGCGAGCTGCAGAGCCCTCATGAGCATCCATAGAAGGAGGAAGAAGCCACACCGCTATGGATCGGAATAAGTTTCTTCGTGAGTCGCTGCGGGTCATCTATGCCAAGCGCGTCACCCTTGCTCCAAACAACATATAGCTCGCCAGCCTCATGCGTGTTGAACACCCTCAGCATTACTCAACCATCACGACAAAACGGTCCTTTTCAGGACCACCATGAATTTGTTAAAGAGTATGTTTTGAACATTTGTCAAGGTCATCAATCGGATGTCAGTTCCCGCAAGCAGCTACCCTAATAAAATTTGTATGGTTATTTTGCTTAACGACGGTTTTGGGGTATCATCAAAACCATTTGTGGAATAGTTCTATAATTTGGGTTATCGTTTGTTTATGGTATTTTTATTAGGGTAGCTATCAAGGCTAATCCAACCGGTGGGAACTAACGATTTTAAATTGGCTCACTACTTGACTAGCCTATTGGTCCCAAACAAATCGATTAACGTGCCCCATTCTAGTATAAATTCTAGTACTACACTATGTTTGTTTTGATTTGCTATGAAAGTTTGACAGATAAAATGAGGGGTTCGTGGATTTTCCTATGTTTCGAGGGGTGCATCGACTAGCTTGGGACCGAAGATAATACCAGAGCTGAGCCAAAAAGTTGAGCACGTTTCTTCGCGATCTACTAGTCTTAGAGTTACCTCTATGGCTCAACCTGGTCTATAGAAGGTGTGAAATTGTATGCCTGAATGTATTGGTGCAATTCGTTTTGCACTCGGCTTTCATTCCGCTTCGCACGATTCGTTTCTTTCGTTTACTCAATCACCCTTGTAGTGACGTCATAACGTTTGTTTCGATCGGCATAGGAAATTTAATATGAATTATAGAATTTTTGTATGTTACCCAAATTTATGAATGGCCTGCCACTAAATGTTGAGATAATTAATTGATTATTGAATTTCACACTGTGTATATCATGAAAAAGCAGTCCGTTTGTGAGTTCACATTAGCGTCCATTCACCGAAGAAGGAGGAAGAAGCCTCACCGCTACTGATCGGGATCTATTTTCGTGAGTCTCTGTGGGTCATCTATGCCAAGCGCGTCACCCTCGTTCCAAACAACATACAGGTCGCCAGCCTCATCCGTGTTGCACACTCTAATAGCTCAGCATTACTCAACCGTAGGTACCGTCCGGTAGGCTCAGATTCTGTGATTGATGTGTTTTCCCTAATACATATTTCATTTCCGCACCGCTATCATCTCCAAGAACATCGAGGAAAAATTTCCACAGTATTGTTCTTAACTAGCTTCCAAGCTTCCAACCCATCGGTCCTTTTCAGGACCACAAATGACCGATAAAAGAGTTAACCAAAGAGTAAGAGCTTAAATCCAAGAAATATCGTCCAGGATTGGCTTGTACAACATGGACATCGACAGAGCACCTGAAAAACAGAACTCTCAAATTGCACGAAATTTTTCACTGATAAAGAGTTAAGAAATCTTTTTAATATTTACTTTACTTTAGCTGTGACATCATAACTACCTTTCGTAATCCTACGTCAAATCTACGGTCGTGTCTTGGATACAATCTCTTACTTTTTTGGTGATCTTAACAAGAAAGATCGGGAAGTTGTATCGATGCAGCTTGTACACGGCAAAAAATCCGATCTACGAAATGAGAAAAATGACTCATGATTTCATGAACAAAGCGTATTTTCATGTTATGAAAATACACCATGAATAATATTCATGATATCATGAACAACTTTTGCTTAACGCAGCAAACATTCCCAAAATCATGAATCATCCGAGTTGAAATCATGAGCTATATTCATGGGTTTAACTTTTAATCAAAAAATGTAAAAAGAATAAAATAAAGCATGAAACTGGATTCGAACCAAGAACCTTGAGATCACTAAACTCATACTTTGACCACTAGACTATCAGTACTTATGTAAGATGGAAGGCAAAAGACGTATAATAGATACCTATGTAGTGCGGTTTATGAACACGGTTTGCAAAGTACGTATAGTAACGCTTTTAGCGGTCTTGATTCCTCTGCATTATGAAATCATGAATTTCCATCCCGAAATCATGAATCATTGCTACGATTTCATGGGATGGCAAGTTTTTTCATTTCATGATTTTTTATTCATGAAAATGGAATCGGATTTGTTTCCGTGATTTCCAGATTTATCTGGCACAGCCAGAGAAATTTTTGCTCTGCCAGACAAACTTTTTGAGAAATCTGGCAGCTTCCTATGTTAATTTGCTGTGCCAGATTTTCGCCAGACATTTTTTTCGGGTTTTGCCAGATTTTTTCTAAATAAGCCTGGCATCTCTGCTAGACCATCATGCCATACATTGTCGAAATTCTTCTCAACGTCCAACAATGCCATGGCAGTTGTTCCGCTTGATGATGTTAGTAACCCGTGCGAGTTGGTGGATGGTAGAGCGGCCTTTCCTAAACCCGAATTGCTCTTTGAGAAAGATGTTATTTTCATTTGAAAATACCAGCAGACGGCTGAGTATCAACTTTTCGACTAGCTTCGAGATGGAGGACAAAAGGTTGATGGGGCGATAGCTCTTGGCACTGGTAGGGTTCGCTTGTGGATTATAATGACTTTGACTAGCTTCCAGCATGCAGGGAAGTAGCCAAGCACCCAACACTTATTCAAGACCGCTGCAAGGTGCTCGAAGAAGTCAACACTCAAGTTTTTCAACTCGAGGTCGACCACTCCTCCTTCATGTTATCTCTCGCACAGAAAAAAAAATCTCTCGCACAGACATCATTTTCCAGCTCGTGCGCAAATTTGCCTTCCATAGCGCTTTCTGACAAGACGGTCGATCTGATCGGAGCTCGGTGAAAACTGATTACAGCTTACGCCGAGACAAAGTGGTGGGTGCAACTCAGTGGGTAACGCGTTCTTCGGGGGATAGCTGTACGTTAGTATAGTGGAAGAGGAAGAGCAGCCGAAATCTTCTTCATGCCTTTATTTAACGTCGGTCTCTGTTTCACAATCTAGTGCCAATCACGGACGGACATCGATTGCCATCCATTGCCGGCAATCGAATGTGCAGGAAGGCAGCTTTCACACCTTGTAGGGGGCATGAAGTAGTTCGCCTCCTCGTGGTGTGCCCTGGAAACGCTACCCAACCCAAGGGAGAGATATTGCGGCTAAACGAACTACCGCAGAGTAAGGACGCTGGAACCCCATCCAGCTCGTCCCAGGAGGTCGATAAGCCCTGCACAAACCCTCGTTGTGCAAAGGCAGGAGTGACACCGGGTTCTTAGAGTGCTTAGCACACGCAGCTGGTAAGCGGTCACATCTATCCTGTTTGGCCCTGGACAGTTGGCTGGCTATCACGTCTGCTCTAGAACTCAGGCGAACAACTAACAGCGAACAAGAAGCGGAAGGCCCTGCACAGCTGCTCACTGTGCAGTAGCGAGTGTCACGTCTAGTGATGCGCCGTAGCGCAACCGGCCCCCTCCCATGACGTAATGCTTTCGGGCGGTTCCGGGGAAGGCAAGGGCCTAGAGCACAGGGTAAGGTTTAGTGGGTCGGGAGTGCTACTTCTCCCATCCCCACACCCTGAGTTATCTTCTCAGATGTCTGGAAGCAGATTCCCCCCTGTAAAAAAAAAAAAAAAATCACCTGCGTACGGTATCGAACCCATTAAAACACACATGGGCCGGGACCAACGGCTTTACTTCCCTTCCGAAGGAAGACGTGACCAGAGATTTTTATGCCTCAGAAAAATCCCACCGACCTCGGCTGGGATTGAACCCAGAACCATTGGAGTGAGAAAGCAGTCACGCTTACCACTACACCACTGGCGCTGGCAGAGCAGCCGAAATGTTCGTCTACAAAAGGGTCTGCTAAATCGCTTCCACTATCAGCTTCACCAATCACCAGCTAGTACGGGTGATAAATAATATCCGAAGTATCAAAACTGTATCCAAGTCTACAGCCATGGCCCTGCTAGACGTTGAAAAGGCATTTAACAATGTCTGGCATGACGGACTTGTGTACAAGCTTTGTAACTTCAACTTCCCATTACAACTGGTTAAAATCATCCGTAACTACCTCTCCAGCAAAGGTCGTTTAAGGTATCGACATTCGACCTCCGACATTCCTCCCCTCGAAAACCTTTTTTTTTTTTTGTTTGTCATCTCAAAACTTTTTTGAAACTGCAATGAGGTAAGAGTGCCAACCCCTAATACCCCGTACAGACTATGGCTTATATCATGTAATATAGGTTGTCTTGCAATGAGCACTCATACATCTAGTTTTCACTGGAAATCCTATGTATGAGCGCTCATTGCAAGACAGCCTATCACCCCTATTCTGTATTGGGGTGTATATTACATGATATAAGCCTTAGTCTCTACGGGGTATTACCGAAGACTTAAATGCGCAATGAAGCAATTTCTTTGATATTTTTGTATAATTTTATTCATAAATATAGGGGTGGAACTCTTGTCCCGTGAAAGGTTCATTTTTAAAAAGATGATTTCGACCAATGGCCAGTATTTTACTAAATTTAGTCTTGGATGTGATATTAAAAAAGGACAACAACAAAAGATATTATTTGCATTTTTTTTTGTATTACATTAAACGATACATAAGAAAGTGTACTGTTTGACACTAGTCTGATTATTTAAAATATATGAGTAAAAACAGCCTTCAAATTAACACAAATTCCAATGGTTGTTAAAAAAGAATTTGATTCATTACAGTGCTCAAAACATAGGGTTTAAAAAAATATATGTTTGTGTTTCAAATCCTTATTCTCTACCTGCAATCACCATTTCATTATAATCACTAGTAATTATTTTGTATCAATATAACACCACATGTGAATGTGGCAATAGCCAATCTTTGTTAGTTTTTATTGCTACTATTCTTCCCTTATCTCTCTAAGATTAAGCAGATGTAACATGTAAAACTACTGAATAGTATAGAATATAAAGATCATATAGAAGAACAGTTAGTAATTCTTCAGGGATTAATCCTATGCGGTGTCAGAAGATCGAGCGCCCTCGGGATGTCCCCATTGACAGAATCAAGCAGCTGAGTGAGCCAAGCTCCCTCGTTGCTGAAGCCCATGGCCATCATGGCATGAACGGCGTGATTAACGTGAGGCTCTGAAAAAGAAAGTCGATTACAAACAGCTCCCGACTAGTATTGGTGTGATGTAGGTTGACTTACTGTGACTGTAGATGGCATTCACGATGGGTGTAGCTTGAACAGTCGGAACCATAACTGCTGGAAGAGGGGATGGTGTTACTTCTTTCGGAGCGGAAGCGGGAGTAGGTGGAGTCGAAGTGGCTTTGGTCGATGCAGCTGCTTGTTGTTCGGCTTCGAGATGTTGCTTCAATGCCTTACCCAACTGCTCGTAATCTATTGGTTTGGAGGTGCTTCCATTGTTGGAAGATGAAGCGGAACCTGCCTCTGGATAACTCCCAGCCGCAGTTGCAGCTGGAGTAGCCGGCATAGAAGATGCGGAGGCAATCGGCTCTACTATATGCACATTAGTAGCTTCCCCAGCGACTTCTACGCTCTCTGTCGACTTTGGTGACGTTTCCTCTATATCCACAGGGATATCTACCAGGGTCCATCTCTTTTCCGATCGAGCGGCGGCTCCAATGGAATCATCATTGTCACTTAACAACGAGACACTGCTGACCGAAGAGCAATCATCATCGTCGCTGGTCGTCAAGCTAGCATCCATTTTTCCCAACTTCTTCTTCAACTGTGGCTCCGCCATCAAAACAGCTTCCAACTTCCTTTCTAGTTCAACGATAGGATCCATCTCAGTTGCCTTGCTGCTAGTTCCAGCCCCACCTGGAGGAGTTTGACTGGGAGTGCTCATTGTAGGCGTATTGGCCGTTTCCGTGGTTTTATCCTTCTTTTCCTCCGTCGGAGTTTGCGTCTGGGCTGGTTTCGGTGCTGCGCTATTGGCACGGATTTCGATGTTCATTCCAAGTGGATCCAAAATCTTTGAAAATGTTTGATTAATTTTCTGAATGCTCTCAGGGGTTGGAGCTAGCCAGGAAAGATCGATCATGTCGATTTGTTTGGGGCTACTCGAGGAAGCAGCGCTTGATGTTGCGGTTTTTTTCGGCTGCGGCTCCTCGTTCGCGGGCGAAGATGCTGAAGCTTCTTGATGTGGTGCATCACCAGAAGTAGTTTTAGCCTCCGGTTGTTGAGTCGGAGCCGAAGCCGATGCTGATGCTGAGGCCGAAGCTGAAGTGGAAGTCGTAGCAGAGCGACTCGTTGACATGGTCGCAAACAGAGGACAGTTGGCCACTGATGCACGGGCAGCTTCCTCCGCGGATTCCGCAGCGGCAGCGGCGGCAGCAGCTGCGGCATCGGCAGAAATGAATGCCGACTGGATGTTGGCCGGATCGATGACCTGATTGATCAGATGTGAAAAGTTAAACCCATGCCCAAAACGGTAACGATGACCACCGCGGCGTTCTTCCGATGACTTGGCGCACCGCTCGCGGCGTTGCTTACGTTCCTTGCGTTCCTTTTCTTCGCGACATTCCTTGGATTCGTCTCGGTCCCGGCTGCGGGTGGAAAATGAGTGTTGATTAATAATATGCAATTCTCGCTGAAACCGGTTCACCGGTTTTTCGAGGTTTTAAAATATTGGATGATTTTAATTAATATAATAGGTATATTATTATAGTAGGGTAGAGAACTACTTCGTCCTAATCGCCCATTTTGGGCCCATCGAGCAAAAAACTTCAAATAAATCCATGATTTCAGAGTTAACAAGTCAATTATGCATTTGGTACGATACTACCGAGCGAAGTCAATGAGAACGCGTGATATGAAGGTTTGCACCAATTATTCCCAAAAAACAAAAGAAGCGCTCCGACTGAATCAATTTTTATCTTCATCCGATAGACCGAAGTTAATTAATTGGCGTTTCAATGGCGTTGCAATGCGTTAGGCCGAGTTTAGAATCCGTAGGCTGAGTTTGGCCTCAAGAAGCAGTGTTAGACTTTTGATAATATCTCAACGATTGGTTTCTCTTTATCAAATCTTACGGTACGTACGGAAAGGTAAATGAATTTGGAAGTCATCAGTAATAATAACATTCCGTTTGGTGCTAAACTGTGCTAGATTAAGAAAGACTAAGTAGGGGTTTTGCTTGATAGGCCGGAAATAGGGTAGTTAACCCTATCTAAATTATTGCATAAAACCATAATGATACCATTAGAAAGGAAATCGTCCGGGTTTTCATTCGGCATGTTTAGACATTTTGGCGGTTTTATTGTTTTATTGTTGTTTTACATCAACAGGCTGGATGAAGTCCCAATGATGTTAAGCTTATCAACTATAGCAAAAAAAATACATTCAAGCATGGTCATAACATAAAAAAAAACATTAAAAAACATATATCTTATAGTCAGTTACTCCTGCCGGTGAAAAACAGAAGAAAACTTTCGACGAAGCGCATCACGGGAGAGATGAAAGTCGAAAACAGATGCAACTCTGTTGAATGTTCTCTGCAGTCCGCAAATCGCACCGTATGCTCCATAATTTGCGCGACGTAGAGGCAGTCTTAACATAAGGCTATTACGAAGCGGTCGGGGTTGAACATTCAGGTCAATTTGCCTCAGGATAGTCTCGCAATCTGTCCTTCTAGTCCGGAGAAGTTCTAGGTCGATAAGTTGACAACGACTTTCGTAACTGGGTAATCGAAACGGATAATTCCAAGGCAATCTATGCAACGGAAAACGAAGAAAGCGACGTTGAACAGATTCAATTCTCTCGGCACCGTTGTTGTAGTTTTGGTTCCAAACTGCTGAACAATACTCAAGCGTCGATCGAACAAGCGAACAATAGAGAGATTTTAGACAGTAGATATCAGTGAAGTTTTTAACTATCCTAAAAATGAACCCTAAAGTTCTTGACGCCTTATCGACAACATATGCAATGTGTTGCTTGAATGAAAGCTGCGAATCCAAGATCACACCCAAGTCTTTCACCTGATTCATGCGTTCGATTGTCGAGCCAAGCAGGTCATAGCTAAATATTATCGGTTGTTGTTTTCGTGATAACGCATAATAGCGGAGCACTACCATTCTGTTTAACCTGCACCAACTAGCGAATACATTCAGCTGACGTTGAAGAAAGTGACAGTCAGCAATCGAATGGATTTGTATTCGTAGGAAGATTTTGAGGACATCTGCATATGATAACCGAGGAGCTTCGATGACCAGATGCACGTCGTTGAAGTACAGTATAAAAATACGGTCCCATCCCATGTGGCTTCCCTGAGGTATACCTGATGTGGCGAAGAAGCTAGCTGATCTGCAATCTCCTATGGCAACCTTTAGTTGGCGACCGGTAAAATATGATCGAAACCAACTCAGAAGATTACCGCATACACCGAGCCTGCCGAGTTTAGCAATCGCAATAGCGTGGTTCAACTTGTCGAATGCTGCGGATAGGTCTGAATAAATAACGTCCGTTTGAAAGCGATCCGACATGCTTTCGGTTATATACGATGTGAGACACAGCAGATTGGTGGTTGTAGAGCGGCCGACAGTAAACCCATGTTGATCAGCACTCAAATACTGCTTGCAATGGGACAGCAACGGTTCCATGATGACTAGCTCGAATAGCTTCGAAACGGCATTTAACGATGTAATTCCTCGATAGTTATCCACAGCTTGTTTCCTTCCTTTTTTGTGGACGGGAAACATGTGCGCAAATTTCCAGCAAGATGGAAATATGCCACTGGAGAGAGACATTCGGAACAGGCGAAGAAGCGGAATTAACAAGCTAGCAATATGTCTCTTCAAAAATACAGATGGAACTCCATCAGGTCCTGGATTGAAGGATGACTTGAGCAGAGTCGCGGCCTTAGAAATCATCTCAGCATTGACATCAATTGCACCCAGCGTTTGGTCATTTACTGGAACGTTCCTGCACGGTAAGAAAAAAGTACACAAAAGGAAGTTCTTTTCACTCATCTCGGCACTTTAGTGCAGGAACCTAAAAGTAGGTAAAGCGGGTCAAAGTAGTTTTCATTTACTTGTGTGCAATTCGTATGGAATTTTCCACTCGCTTTCTACCCAAAAGTAAGTTAGTTGTACCCAAAGGTAGGTAAATATGACTATACTCAACGTTGGGTTCCCACACTTTACTACCCTTGTTGGGTGGTTTTGCTTCTCCGTCTTTGACAACATTAGAAGGAGGAAAGGAGACAAACTAGTCAAAAGTAGGTAAAAGTGAACTGGCCGTTGGGTACTTTTTTCTGACCGTGTGGCAGCCAGGTTAATATGGTCGTCAGTTAGTATCTCATTAGTCAATACACTGGCAAACTTTTCGGAAAAAAAGGTGGCATATATCCTGAACGGTGCCAGCAACTTCTCCGTTGAATTCCATAGACGATGGGAGGCCGGATTCCCTGCGTTGCTAGTTCACGTAGTTCCAAAAGAATTTCGGGAGTAGCTTAAGTTTGCGCTGGATGCCTCGTTGGAAACTTGAAAAGCATTCACGACTGACTCGCTGGTACATGTGATTCAGCCTCACATAATGTAGTTTCAGAGGAAGCGTGCGATACTTCGTAAATCTTCTCAATGCTGCTCTCTTGATTGACTTCAACCTACGTAGCTCTCTCGTTTGCCAGGGTCATATTTAAATTAGCCGCTAAATTGGATTTTTTTCTTAAGCCAACCTCCCACCAATTGAAAAACTTAGCATGTCATTTAAAAGCTGAGACTTTTTCCTATAAGAAATACTATTTTTTTTAAATCCAATATTTCTGATAAATTTAAAACATGCCAAATGAAAGCCCTGACGAAAGGTATGCAAACATTAGGGCTTTCTGGAAGAACTTTTAGAGATATATAGATGTAATTCATTCAAAAAAAATATATTTCTTAAACTGCTTGAGCCTAAGTTTACGAGGGAATCTCATCATTACTTAAGGAATTTTATAATTTTCTTAGTAAGGATATTTAAAAAAAAAATACATTTTAAAATACATAGGATTAACTACCCCATTTCCGGCCTATTAGGCACAACCCGCGCTTAGTCTTTCTCAATCTAGTGTAGTTTAGCACAAAACGGAATATTATTATTACTGATGGCTTCCAAATTTATTTACCTTTCCGTACAGATTAGAGCAACCAATTGTTGAGATATTGTTAAAAGTCAAACACTGCTTCTTGACGCCAAACTCGGCCTACGGATTCTAAACTCGACCTAATGCATTGAAACGTCAATGAATTCACTTCGGCCTATCGGATGAAGATAAAAACTACAATGGACAGCCGGTTGTTACTAGAGACCGAGAATACCTCTTCATCTCCACGGCTGTCTCGGGAAGGATAGTTGTGTGAGTGAGAAAGGTTATTTTTAGATTAGGATTCACTGTGGTAAGTGATGCGATCGGTTAAAGCAGAATTTGTTTTTTTTTATTTAAATCTAGTGGAGATAGAATAAGGCAAAGTGAAAAACTGCAAGGAGGGGACAGGCCTGGGATTGAACTCCCTACCTTCTGCTCAGTAAGCAGAAACGGTAACCACTGAACTACCAAACCTCGTCGTAATGCTACATCGACATGTTTTGTCTAGGAATGATTCTCTGATGACTGTGTTGGGGAAGCAGCATATGCATGTACGTAATTGGTGGATTTGTTAGTTTATTTGACGCTTTTGGACAATGCTGGACATTTACCACTGTTTCAATAGTTTCTTGTAGAAAATCAACATTCGGAAGCATTGTTATCGTTGCGTAGCCATATTTCTGATCGATTGGTGATAAAATTATTGAAATTGGTCCAGCGGCAGCTGAGTTATTAACGTTCAAAATCTTTCATAATTTGTTACATGTTCCATTTTCGGTTTTCACAAAGTGTACCCCCATATAGAAATCAAAGACGTAGTCCTACGTCAAAATTGATTCGGTCGGAGCGCTTCATTTGTATTTGAGAATATTGGGTGCAAACATTCATATCACGCGTTCTTATTGACTTCGTTCGGTAGCATTGTTTGCTCTATTAATGATTAGAAGAAAAGCAGCTTGTGTTTCAATAAATAGCAGCCAAGTTCCAGGAATATGAATCAGTTCGATTGTTTGTATTTGAATATTGCGGGGTTGTCAACAAACTACGTAGCATTACGTCAGATTGTTGAGGAAAAACGTCCTCTTTTAGTTTTATTATCTGAAACTCATATTGTAGAAACTGAAGCTTTTGATCAGTATAGTATTCCGGGATATATTGTTGCTGCTTGTTTATCACATTCTAGACACACTGGTGGTGTTTCTATTTATGTCAAAGAATCAGTTCAATTCAACCTTCGTACCAACGAAGTTATTGATGGCAACTGGTTCTTGGGGATTTTAACATTAATTGACGTGATAACAATTATTCGAATCATTTGAAGCGTTTAGCTGAGTTTTTTTAATTTTAAGCAAACGGGAAATGAGTAGAACTTGACCACGTTTATTCCAATTTTGATTCCTTTTGTTCAGTTACGGATACTGATTTGAAAATAACCGATCATGAGACCTTAGTGATTATTGTCTTAGACCATGTTAACGA